GTAATTTGTTCTCACTTTTTATTGTACGCAGAATACATTTAACTGACTATTGAAGTTTGTGATGTATAAATTGTACCAAATTGAACACACTGTTTATTTTTGCATTCACTCCGCGTTATTTATTTTTTTAGAAGACTATTTATTCTAAAGTCAGATTAATGCTCTCTCTCATAAAATGTACAAAGTCCAAAACCCTGAGATGCTTACAGTGGTCATACAGGAGGAATAAACCACCCATAGCTCCCGAATGAACTACGGCTATAAAGGCTAAGTGGTGTAACGAGTCAATAACAAGCGTAGATCCTGGTTCGTTGCACTATCACAGTGAACACGTTTTAATTAGCCGTGGAGCACCGTAATCTAAAATATAAAAAAAAATTAAAACAATCAAGGTAGTCTATTGTTAGCGTTTCCCAGGGAGCTTCAGCTTATACTGTCCCCGTACCTTCAACAATATCATGTCAATACTGATTCCAACAATAACAAATGGCACCCCAGAGTGGTGTAGTTGACAAGTGAGGGCGCTCTTCATTCAGACCTGATTCAGACCCAAACGACCTGATACCGGCCAGATTACAAGTCGTTTGGACCCCTCGCCGTTTGGACCCCAGGACGATTAGACCCCAGGACGATTAGACCCTTCGACGTTTCGACCCCTCGACGGCATAACCGCTTGACGTCACACTTCTCAACATTTGCACCTAGCAATATTTGTCAAAAGTTGCAACATTTTACTGGATAAAACTAGAAGATACCTGAATTTGGCAACAGAATCGCGAATTACGGCGATCCCTCGACGGAATCTTCGACTCTCTTACTAAACGCGACTGAATGGTAGTTAGCCTGGCTTCTTGGTACAGTAGTGGAATCAAAACGTAAAACTGTAATTCGCTGCTGTTAGCCTTTCCATTTATCCTTCGATGCCATCCTTCGAGGTGATTGTTGGTTCTGATGCTTTTTTAAAAAATGCACCACGACGCGATTGGAAAAACTCTGCTTTCTATCCAGGTGGTACGGACATAACGCATCAACTCCGTGAATTCCGTCGTCGCATTTTCTTCTAACTCTCTAAACATGGGCTCGATGTGTTCCTGCAGCAGGAATGGTAGCGCCATAATTTTTCTGATAAATCTAAATACTGATCCCTTCCGGTTATACGCCGACTGTAAACCTACTTGCTTCACTTTGCGGCCTATTGCCTGGGTCAAATGAAAAACGCATCCTTGGATTCTTAGTTCAGGGAAAACAGAACGTACTTCACGCCACATCCCTGCTTCGAAATCCATAACTACTAGTATGTTCCGAGGCGGTGAAGTGAAAAACGGGTGTGATCACGCTCCGTCAGCGCTTTATAAAGGGTTAAAGATACTGTGAAGAAGAAAAAAAAACTCACGAAACTCCGTGTATCGCATTAAATATTAAAATTAGGTAAAATGAAACACAAACAGCTCAATATACAGTGTCTCAACCTTTGCAAAGCACGAAACACATTTGAAAGGTCGTCTATATTATCACAATTCGTCGTACGATGGCGCTTTTCACCTAGTTTTTTTTTTTGAAAGTTCAAGTGCTGCAGTATGCTAGTCCATTAGGAATTAAATAAAGTAAGATGCCATGGAGTTGGTCACGGACCACAAAAAATACGAAATGAATTTAATTTCGATTTGTATTGTAATGTTTGAATGTGAGGATATTTCCGATATATAGGATAATGTCTGCCAGCCGGCCTTGTGCAGTGATAGTAATAACAACAATAAAAACATCACGTGTGCACTCTACAATACTGATTGGTTCTCATTGGCCATACAGATGAGTGTAGTAACAGTACTAAAAGTGGTTCTCATTGGCCATACAAGTGAGTGCCGATTACCTCATGCCGTCCTGCAACTTAACTAAGCAAATTTGACAACTAAAATAACACGTATGCGTGGGCGGCGACTCGAACGCTGTGGTTTTACGTTCTTTGTTATCTTTGGGGACTGTACAACCACCAAGTAAGAAGCCGTTCCAGCAAATTGTACGGAACAAATAAGCTGGTTGGTGGATTTTGGATTTAAAGTCGATCACCAGTCTGAGGTAATTCACTGCAAGCTATGGTGTCCTTGTTGTCAATCGAACGTGTGGGAATATAAAGTACTAGATATATACACGCAAGTCAATTTTGTTACTCTCAGTGCCAATCTGGAGAAAGGTGGGCTCAAAATGCACGTTACAAAGCATTGTGTCTCGACAGAGAACTTGGTGGAGTTGGGTGACCGTGCGACCGGTAATTTCAAACACTGAATAAGCCCCAGAAAATTGCAAAAAGAGGTGAAACCTTTGCAGGCTAAATCATTCAACAGCTCAATATGAAGTCATCCGGTACTCACTCTGAATTTGAGGATGAAATGTTGTATGATGTTGATGATTAATGTAACAAAAACTATCACTGTGAAAGTATCAGCAATAAAGTATCAGTTTTAATATCTATGTTTTCTATTATATATATTAGTGTTCTGTCGCATACGACTTGTTTACCACTTCCGTG